TTTTAACCAGAAATTCCTTCGCAATATCAAGATGACTTCTAAATAAAATAAGTAAAATAAAAGTCCGGCTTCAATATGTATCAGAAAAAGAATACTTTCTCAAAACTTCACTTCTTCACATCTTGTCTGATATTATTTAATTAAATGCCTTCTAACCTTCATTTGAAAAGCAAGATGTCTTTTGATCTATTAGTGGAGGTTACACTAGTTTGGAGTAGCGGCTTTTTTTCTATTGTGTTACCATGGATTACCATGAAGAAGTACCTCAAGAGGGCCGCAGTGGTTAGCTAAAAGAATGATAACCAATGAAAGACACGTTTCTTCCTTTCAATTAAAAGTGAATTAACCTGAAAAGTCTATAAACTTGACTCAAATTTTAAATTTCAAGATTAACAGATCTGTCCGATCGATCATAAATGACATCCCAAGCATTTTCAATCTTCTAATGGTCAAAAATAGGCATTGACAAAGTAGATGAAATGCGGATTTCTACACCTCTTTACATCCACAACCACGACAAAACTAATTAGGGATGGTTACTTATATATAATAAATATACTCTTGTGGTTGTTCAGATAACTTTCTATGTACCTCACTTAGCGATTTTTTGCCATTTTGCCACCATATTTCTCGCAGAAACCTCTAAGATAGAAGAACTCAGACTAAATACATCCTGTCGAATTAAGATAATTTAATAGGTCTTTCGTCTTTATCGATAAACAGGCTGAGGAGCTGTCAAAGAAATATCTCAATGGAGAAAGTTTTTAATGGTTTTTTTTCCTGCAGATTTACACAACTTCTGCAATGAGGATTATGAATGATGCACAGTTCTCTGCGTGGGTTTCTCTTCACGAATAAACAGAAAGAACTGCAGTAAGCCTTGCAGTGTTCACTCGATTGTGGTAGTGTTACACTGGAAGCCTTGAATTAAATCATTTTATATACTATTTAACATATACATAAATTTTCCATTCAGTAAACAAATTAATAACATTTATATTTCTTCATTAAATAGCTTTAAATGTACTGGTTACGTTTTAAGCTACATTTCCAACAATTAGGGAATTCCTCTCTAAGCGGAATAAGCGCCCGCACTACCCAGAGTTTTAACTAAAGGTTGCAATGAAAACAAATGTCCTTCGTTTGGTTGCTCTGCAGTGGGTTTTAAACTAATAAATATTAATTCCGTCTCAAAGGAACGCAGCGCCACAAAGCAATTTAATTAAAAATTAAGAATTATGTATAACGTAAAATTTATTTTAATATTTTATTATATTATCTGCAAGTTTCAAACTCACATTAAACACAATGTTTATATCTGTGGGTTGGAATATAAAACTAAAGCACCAAGAAAAAATTCCTAACAAATTTTTAATTGAAGTTGAGCCAAACCATTAAATAAAACTACAAGCATTTTTCATAGCTTAAAAGAGAGTATAAAACAAAATAAGAAACATCAAAAACATAAATAAAAATATCAAAAGAAAAAATGTAAAATATTTTACAACAATGGCAACATTTTAGTAGGAATAATAATAACAATTTTTATGAATTAAGACTTGCTTTCCTCTGTTCTGTTCGCGCAGCACCTAATAACACCTAACAAAGCCACCCGCTAGTCTGATAAGTGCGAATGATTTGACGAGGAAAGAGTGTAAGCCATAAAAACATAAAAAGCAACAAAATTGTACTTACTGCTGCCAAATGCGACGCGTTGCTATTTTTAAAAAGAAAAGCCACAAGACAAAACCAACCCTGCATGCTCTTAACTCCGTACACAACAACAATGAGTACAAGTACATACTCTACTACTACTATACGACGAGTGTACTGTGATAACAACAAACGCTACAACAATGGCAAGTTAGTGTAGCAACAACAACAACACATCAATAAAACAAAAACCAACAAAAACGAACAAAAACCAACAACCAACAACAACAGGATGCAATGTTATTTCAAATGAGACTCGCGCGTACGTACGCAACAAGGTCACTGGAAAAATCGTTAAAACAGACGAAAAATCTATCCCCAGTATACACACACAATTTTCACAATTCTACTTAGCGTACATGTCATTTTGTCAAAATACAATACATAAATAAATATGTCCGTTTGTGTTATTTTTTACACATTTTTTCGCATTGACAGAAGAATTTTTACACTTGAAAAATACTTGTTAGCTTGAAATTATTCAAAATGTAGACCTTTTCATAATTAATTTATAAATTTCATTTACAATTTAAGAATATAAAAAATATTTTATAAAATATGTTTATATGTGTGTATCTCTACATATAATAAAATAACAAAACACTACTTACCAATTTATTGCTTTTAAAATTGTTTCAATTCCGCACATTTCCATTATAAAAAAAATTTTTTTTGTTTTCTTGGTAGAAAAAATAATTAATTAATTAATTAAAAGTCACATTGGTTTCAACTTAACAACTTTAGTTAAAGCAATTAATAAAAAATTATTCAAATGTATCCAGTTTCTTAATTATTGTTGCAGATATACTATATATTTATGTACATATGTATATAAAATTAATTTTCTAAATCGTGTACTTCCGTGGACACCTCTTAACACTTCCAAGTCTGTACTGCAACTGATAAAGATTCAAGTTTCTGCTTGGCAAAGTCCATGAAAATTTTCGTAGCTTAAAGCTGCTAGGATTTTGGTGAAAGCTTCTTGCTGTGTTGAGTATATTTCAAAATTCCTGGAACTGGAATATTTCCCACACTTGTTGAAGTTTGTGTGCACTAAATGCGCAAGCCTATGTTTTGATCCGGCTTCTTCACAAGTGTTTGTTGACAAACAATTCTTGTTGTATTTAAAGGGAACACGTGCATTCTCGATTAATGCGCAAGTCTCGGAACAATTTGTCGTGTGTTGAATATTTTCACTGAGCTTTCGTTATTGGAAGAGTGAGAAATCTTGAACAAAAAGTTATTAAAACGAAACAGTGTATAACCGCTAATACAAATAATATTGACTTTAATGATCGAATGATCGGTTAAGTAGAATGTTAACTTTTGAATTGATGTCCTTTTAAGATAACTAAAAGTTTTAAACCATCCTAATTAAATATTTTATTTAAAACATATATGTTAAGTCAGACATTAACTTATTTATTCAGTCTAAATAAAAAATTGTTCAAATTTTGTCAAAAATGGGACCGAAAACAATATGATTATCTCACACACTATCTACTTTCCACTTGAAATTAATTAAATTTCCTTATAGAAAAAATTTTCAACAATGTCCAAATTTTATGAAACCCGTCGAGATTTAGAGTGGGAGATATGGTAATAAACTGGTAGGATAGCATTAAATATCTAGACATCACAGTGTACAAACGATTCACATGGCTTAAACATGTTCAACTGAAAAGAATTAGCTGTGCCAAAATTTTTCATCATTTCCAACCGCTATTCAAAAATGAAAATCTTAATACTAAAAACAGGAAGCTGATATATAACCAAATAATTCGACCGTCACTTCTATATAGGTGTGTGTAGCGTTCAGCAAAGCCTCAATCACTAGTATTTGACAGCTAGAAATTGCACAAAGGCTCTGAGAAGACTTTTCAAGGTACCATGGTACATAAGGACGAATGACATCCTTAGGGACCTCAAGATTAATCCGATCAAAAAATACATAAAGGATAGAGTCCTGAAATTATTTGCGAAAACGGACAGACTTACCAATACCTCGTTATCGAATCTCAGAATGGTTACAGGCTCGTCGGGGGGTTCGCAGATTTAAGGTCTATTATTGCTTAGTCTGATGAAGTGATAAACAATAATCCAGTCAAGGCGTACAAAGGGGTTATGAAGAAACCTCACAGTTAACAGAGAATAAAAGTGCTCAAGTGCACTGACTCAACTAGCCTCAACATATGTTAATAACAATAATAAGGTTTTTATTTGGAGTTTTAGCACAATTTTTCGTAAGAAATAAATGTTAGAACTAAGCTTTAAGCGTATAATTTCTTCCATAGCGTAGTGTTCCATTTTTTAGAATAGGCGCCCCACTAATTCTGAGAAGATTAGCAAGCTGAAACATTCGGTCCACCAAAAAGTTAAAGGATTATTTGTTGTAGAAAAAGCGTAG